CCTATTTTGTTGTTTATTTATTTTATTTTAGTATATTTTAAAATGGGAAAAAATTGAAAGTACCATTTTACCCCTCATAGTTTAGTCAAAATTGAATGAATTTTGACTTTTTGGGTTGACTAACAGTCAACTGGATGGAATCCGTCCATTTGGACCTCCGGCGCATATTTTTTAAAGGTTTGGGATCTCGCTTGGTACAAATCAAAGGTTAGGGTAAAACGCGCAAAAATCTGAAAGGTTTGGGACCGCAGCTGCAATTATCCCGGACAACAATGATGAACATGGTGAAAATTCGGAAAAACAAACGAAAAACGACTAAAATGAAGCACGATCCAAAGTTTGAGGACCAAATTGCAAACTCAATAGTTGATTCGGATCACAAGATGATACTTTGAAGATTGATAGGAGACAATTAGATGAGATTAGAACTCAAAAATGAATGGAATATGATCAAATATTATCACAATCAATGTCCAACAACACTAGTTATATTCCAGATTTTTTGCCGAATATTGATACCCATTTTTGGCACTGTAAAAGTCCGAATTGGAAAATTTATATTTCTAGAAAAGTTTTAGCCCTTTGATCCATATTTCTAACGCACTTTGAATCACACCAATCGAATATCGGGAGATAAAGTTATGGCCAAAATACTGACTGCTGTGCAGAGACTAAAAATCCGCACGCGAATGAAGCATTCCTTATTCGATTGGAATTCTTTTGGAAACCAAATTGGACATGATTTTTAATCAATTTTCGACTCCTACAAATATATAACAACAGAACACATGAAGAGGAAAAAAAAAACTTCTGGCAGCAAGGATAGTAATGGATAATATTAAGGAAGAAAAAGAAGTTAAAAATATTGTTCTTTATATTGTTAATTCATGTTGAATGCTGTGTGACAAACATGCACCTAAAATACAAAGTCCTAAACTGACAGATTTATCCAATTGCTTAAGCATTGTTCATAGCATTGAACAGGCACAACCCATTTTCCCGAAATGGTAGATCCACTTCTCAAAAGGGAATTTCCCGTGACGCGCTTAAATCAAGCCGTGGGAGTTGCAGCCATGTGTCTTCAGGATGAACCATTGGTCCGTCCTTTGATCAGTGATGTTGTGGCTGCTCTTAGTTTCCTTGCAGTATCTCCACCTGATGCACCAGTTCCTGCACGCCTCGTTCCTCTCTTGTCATCCCAGGTGGATACGTCGAGTCGCTGTTGGAAATATTTCTCTAGAGAGGAAATGGAGTAGAACCCAAAATTAAGACTAGTGTATAACATCAATAAAATCAGGATCAAACTTAAATTCAACAATGAAAATAACCAAAAGAAGAAGATGGACTTATCTTTATGTTTCCCGAACATTGCAGTTTCTCCCTTTTATAGATTGTGATCTTCCATCCAAGTATTGAGAAAACTCGATGCAAATGATCAAACAACTTCGAAGAAGATGAAAGGCTCAAACGCATGAACATCGTTGTCCTCAAACGATATTTGCCCCCTCTCAGAATAATGAGATGCTTAAGGATTTCCGACAAATGGTTTGAAGGATTGATCCAGCCTTGTTGCAGAAAATATCAAAGCACAAATATTTTCCACACATACTTAAAGAACACAAATAGAGATTTGAATATGGACGATTTCTTTCTTTATGGAATGAATGATAATAATCACAATGTTATCTCTCTCATTTACATTTGTCTTGGCCAAGATCTATTTATAGCTCACAAAAGATCTCACGAAATGATGCCAAAACCATGTTACAAGGCCACCAAAATTGAAAACAAACGGTCAAAAAAGGGTAGGAAACCGGCCTCCAACGGCCGGATTTTTGTTCCATGCAGCCGAATGGAAATGCCAAAGGCAGGGACCAAAATCCCTGCACGTGGCCATGCGGCCGCATGGAATTACCAAACCTCTTCCCGTTTTTTCTTTTATTTTCATTTTTCCATTCCTTTTCTCTTTCCTTTTTGTTTTGAACAATATATATAACAGTTGCCATAGAGATCATCCGCATTACAAGGATGGCGACATTTCTGCTCCTGAAAAGGAAGACAGTTCAGATAGTGTTGATGATGAGAAGATGAAAGACAAAGGCAATAAGTCTCAACGTAAAAAGAAAATGAAAAAACAGGACTCGAGCTCGAGTAGCACCAGCTCCAGTTCCAGCAGCATCGGATCTTGAAGTCATAGTCAGTGCTTTAGCCTGAGGCACGACAATATTCACGAACCTGATGACAATGCTGATGGTTCAAACAGTGACCACGAATCCTCGAGACAAGAGTTGCACGAGGATGTGCATGATGAAAGTGTGAGATCCAAGGAATATGATTCATGTTCTGAAGAAGAAAGTGATATTGTATATTAACAAGGCACAACAGCAGTGTGGATTCTTAATATGGAGACGACGGTCCTTGTTAAGAATGACAGACAATTTCTTGTTAAATCGGGCATTTTATGCAATTGCGCTGTTTAGATTTTGATACATTTCTTATAAATTTTAGATTTTTGTGTTATCGCGTCAAATCCACTATGAAAATATGAAACTTACCATAAAATCAAAACCACATACTTAATAGAAGCTACGGCAACGTTACCTTTGAAGTCTCTGTACAAATACGGTGTTGTCTCATACTTAGCAAACAAACTGACAACACATTGAATTCTTCCAACTCAACATAGGTATACATTTTATTATAATGACACAGATCTTCGAAATGGAAGAGTAAAATCAATTGAATTTCAAGTATAAAATCTTCAAATCTTTTCTTCTTATCCATTTAAGCTTGCATTTTGATCATCGTCTCGAATTGACACAAATCTTCTACGACAAGCTTGAGCTACAATTTCCGTCTGCAGGTCGCTATCTTCTTTTAGAAAAAATGGTCTGAAGGCAGGCCTAACACGACTCAAGTTTTCAGACAAGTCGATCACTACACATCTGGTGTGAGGCCAAATAAGGGCGGGCTGCCTCAGTCATGGACGACGTAGCCTGGTTCACTCCCCCTCTATATCCCTTGTACCTTAATTAGAAATAAGATTTTCGACTAAGAATCCTTCTTTTGCTCAGTGGGTTCTATGAAAGAATGTATTATTTCATCTCATCTGATTTTATGAGAGATTTTCCAAATTCTATTGAGTATGTATGGCACTATGCTATGTCTGTGGAAACAATTTTCATAATATGCAATTAAAATAAATACATCAAAATTTAATGATAAAATACGAAAGCGACAAAAAAAACTAACCAAAACCTATGTTCAATAAAAAATAAAGGTATTGCCCATTTATACCATCAGGTGTAGTTTTCTTCTTCTTTATTCGGAGGGGGTTCAAATCTAAAATCTCTACTCTCCCTCTTGCTTCAGAGCATGTTGATATACTCCCTTGTGCTTCTTTAAGCTTGTGTATTATGGTAGCTTTGGCAGCCTCTTATTTTGCCTAGAAATCTGTCAACTTCGAGTAGAATCATGCGGTATATGGTTTTGGCATTGGCAGATCCTTGACGATTCCACAAAGAGGATCATTGTCCGGGATGTTATATTCATCCCGAAGGGAACGTGCAGGTGAGAGGACACTGATGTAGAGTTGTTGGCCTAAATATTTCCTCTCTGATATCATTGATCTTAGGATCCACATTCCCGCATTGTCCAGTGTTGTCATAATCGCTGCCCATGATTTTGGATATACTTGGATTGTGTTTCTACTTACGGCATCAAGAAGATTGTAGTTCTTTCTTTTATCTGGTGTCCATTTTCCTGGTTCAATCCTGTTACATGGAAAAATTGTCATTGGAAAACAGTATATGATATGGAAAAACGTTATTTCTTAAAAGAAAAATGGTGTTGGAACCAGATGTATGTATATATACTTACGCAACAGCAAAAAATGCATATCCAGCCAAGTGCCATGATTGAACACTCTTTTCGTGGTTCTCGAATATGATCTCAACAAAGTTACGGAAAGTGGCATTGATCACATTGGGTGCAATGCTGATCTGTTCAGTATCTGTGGGTGGTTCGTCTTTAAGTAGGTCGTATTTGAAGATTTTGTCTGCAACCCCGAAGTACTCGGCCAGCTTTAATGGAGTCTCGGTATTTTCGTGGGAGATTCCGTTGATGGCATAACGAAGCTTTCCATCAACCTTGCCGGCTGAATTTACTAGCTTGATTGTGCGCGTAATGTTGATTTGGCCATAATGGTAGGAGCCTTGAGGATTAGGCCTAGCAGCACTGGCTGTCAGGTTCCACCTAAATGACCGGAACTGGTTGAGGGACCAGGCCCTGATTTGGCCATAATGGTAGGAGCCTTGAGGATTAGGCCTAGCAGCACTGGCTGTCAGGTTCCACCTAAATGGCCGGAACTGGTTAAGGGACCAGGCCCAACCAACGGGGCCCTTGGGCAGCTCCGGTGAGGCGGGGCCCGTACTACCCGAATAGCGAATGGTTGCAGTCGAGGTCAGCACTGTTTTCGTGAACCGTGTCGAAGCTACAAGATAATAGGCCTTTGGTTCTTGATTAGCTGTTACTAGGACTGAATAGCATTGCCCCAAATGCACATCAAGGGAATCATACACATTTTGGACAGTGTGGGATCCTTCAATTTCCACCAGTTTCATTGTATGACCTTGAATTCTAACATTAATGGAGTTCTTCATCCCCACATTACAGAATCTGTATCTATAAGTCTTTCCAGGGATCATCGTAAACGTCGGTTCATTTTCCCCTTTAGTGCTACCTGCCTTCCCATTGATCAGAACACCATCGGCCCGTGCAAGGGTTCGCCCACTGTCAAGTAACCTCTTTAATGTAGAGTGACCTTTTGTGTACCAGTCACCCACCAGAACGTCGTACTCATCCTCCGGCCGATCGAATGGAACTGGAATAAGATCCCGGCTATGGACATGGATGGGGCCGTAGGCCCCCGCAGCGTGGTGCAACGCAGTTGTGGCATGGTAGAAGAAGCTTCCAATCTGATCCTTCACCTGGAAATGGTATGTAAAATTTTTACCAGGTGGAATGGGACAAGTTGTGCCCAATGTTCCTTCCTGCCAAGAATTCTTCCTCTGCTGAATACCGTTCCATGTAAAAAGAAACGGTTCGTCGAGGTTGTTGAACACATTAACAACGATGTTGTTGTTGGAAGTGCAGTTGATTTTTGGTCCTGGAAACTGACCATTGATGAGAATAACTTGTTGGGGTACACCCAAGGGAGAAAGGGTGGCATATGTAACATTCCATGTGAAGAACAAGTAAGGATCTTCACAGTGGACCGTCACGAACGTCGATACACATGATAGAAGTGAAAATAACACCAAATTTATCCTACCCATTTTTATTACCTACTTAATTTTTTTTCTGAAAATGTACAAAAATAAATGTCGTCGTGCTCGACGTAAATAGGTGACTTGCTTATTAGGCATTGGGACGTTCTTTTTATATGTAAGAGAAGTGAGAAGAAAGTGAGAGGCCGTTAGAGTTGAGTGCATTGCCCGCAAGCAGCGTTCACTGTCTTATTGAGGCTTTCCTTTAATTTCTCCTCTCTTTTCTTTGGTTCAGCTAACCGTTACACCCCACCCTACGCCACCCCGCCCCCAGTACAAAATAATAATTGAAAAAAAAAATTATCTCAATGTCCTTTTAACAAATTTATAATTATTTAACTGTATTTTTCTGCATACCTCAATTTTTTATATACCGCTAAAATGTTTAAAAAACAATTTTAAACGTTATTGGATATTTACATAAAATCCCTCTTTCTGTCTCTTTATAGATCAAAAGTTCACAACGTGGTCCAACAAAATGGTTAACCCGAAATCATCAAGGCCCAATGAATGAAAATGTGCAAAAATTTACAATTAAGCTTGTGTTTTATATTGACCGAGAAATTAAATTCAAGAAAATTAATTAAAGATATTATCCAGTATAGGATCCCCGAGATTTATTTTGGCCAATTGATTTCAAATAAACCTTACTCCTACTTAGATTTCCAAAAATATTATTTAAGGTAATCTTGTCTACTAGGATATTTTAACACAATAAGTCACTAATAAATTAGCAGCTGATGTTCGACACTCACTTGGAACATATTAGAATTTTTTTTTTTTTAATAACAATGGCTGTTCTGACCAGCTTACGCACACCTCGACTAATCCCACAAGGCCTTGAAGTTTACGGCTAGGTACTCACCCCAGTGACCGTAAAGGGACTTGAACTGGTAATCAATGGGAAACAAACACAAGGCCTTACCAATTGAGCAACCCCTCAAGATTATGATTTTTTTTTTTTTTTTTTTGGGAAAAAAATCATAAATTATGTATTTCTAATTCAAGTAAAACAAAGACCTTATAACCTCAGTTGGATTAAACTAGAAGTCTAAAACCTAAACCTATATAAACCACGCATACCACATGCCCCTACTCTCATATCTAGGGAAGAGCATTTTGATTCAAATCCACCTAAATAGGATCGAACTCAGACCGAACCAAGTAGTTAGATATAGCTCTGAAAAAAAAAAAAAACAAAAAAAAGGAATTTCGATTCAATTCTAATCTTAGAATCGACAAACCATGGTTCTACTACAAAATCATTTTATGATTATGTTCAAAAAAATATTTTTTTAAACTCTCAATTAAATCACGATTTATATAAATCATACATGAATTCATGCTAAGCTCAAATAAACCCTGCTGGTGAATAAAAATAATGCAAATATACAATCTAGGAATCGAATTCTCAAATAAGAAACGGATTAATTATATAGAAAAGCTTAGCTCGAAGAGGCTAACTCAATTTGAGACACATTTTGTTCCTCAACAAGGTCAGCAGACATGGCACAAGGTATTCTATGCCTTTTTAGTATGCGAGATGTGGCAACTTTGGCCGCATCATAGTTCAAAGCAATCACTCTTTCGTCATCTAAATCAAATCTTATACTCTCTTTGCTACAATCTTCCACGAGTTGGCACAAATGTTTCAAGTTCTCGACTTCGACCCCGCTGACCTTTTTCACCTGAGAATTGGCCCAATCATTCACGGGAGAGAGTAACTTTTTTACAAAGCAAGGGCTCTTATAGTGGAAGAGGGCAACTCATACATGAAAAGAAATTATCCAACACGACTCTAGCATGTTGGTTGTGGTTAAAAGTAAGTCAATACTTACTTTTAAGTTACTTTCTGTAACAACAAAGCTTACTTTTCTAGTAAGTGAGCAACTTTTAAGTACAGCCAAACATACTCATATGATAATTAATTTTTATCCGAGAAAATACCCTTGTTATCCAGTCGATTGTACATAAATCGAGTTTCAAATATGACCAATATAAGAGAATGAAAACATCAGTTTCAGATCGTTGACCATGCTATATATCTAAACGAAAACCACAGATGAATAAATATAATGGTTTAGAACCCCCAGAATGCTATACCAATTAGGCAATAACATTGTCCATTATATGTAAATATCGAGTTTAAAATTAAGTGGTAAAATAGATAAAGATTAGCCAAAAGTTGAAGCAAATAAAAAAAAATAATAATAAATAATTAATTAATATAAAAATTGTTTGTACCATACCTGTAACTCAGTAAGACGCTCATAACCGGCATTGATATCATCCATTAGTATCTGCATGAATTCATAATTTTAGCTTAGGTATAAAATATGTCAACATTATAGCAAAATACACAACTACTCTCACATTACATTGTATAGCTGAGGAAACAATATAAACAAGGGGAACATTGTGTACATTGCCGCCCCAAACACATCAATTTTAGCACAAAACTTCATTTTTCGAAGATGTCATATTTTTAGGTGATTACTTATCAAAAAAAATATTTTTAGGTGATTAATAGAAGTACAAAGTTCTTCGGATAATTTAGTTTGGTTTCCTTCAAAGACGTAATCTGAATACCTGCGAGAGAATAACAAGTTGTTCTCCAGCTTTCTTTGGTAGCTCCCTAAGTGCTCGTTCACACAACCGACGCGGAGAGGTGTTATACCAGTCTTCTCCATACTCGTGTAGATATGGTTGTGTCAATGGAATAAAGACAAAGCCGGCAAAAATGAAATAACTAGGAAGCTTATCGAATTGATGAACTGGAACAAGTGGTTGTAACTGCATAATTGAGTCATTATGTGCAATAAGTACCAGAGTAAAGTTAAAAAAACACAAGTAACAGAAGACTAAATCTTTAAAAGTCCACAACCATTATTTTCATGACACAAGTATACTCCAAAATTTCAATGCCAATTGTGAAAATAGTTTGTGAACCAGACAAGATGATGAAAATCTATAGCACAGGAATGTTATAGATTGATTAGGTGTTGGTAACAACTTCTGTGATTTCATGCTCTTGCTTGAAACATGTTTATGCTTACCCATTATCAAACAATAAAATATTCCTAAACAGATCGAGCAATGGAGATTTACATAGATCCAATAATAGTTAACCAAGAAATCAGAATCCCAGATGAGGTGCATTAGCAATATTTTCAAATGACAATCTGGTTGTTAGTGCATACAAATGCTTTCTGAGTCTAACATTCAATGAAGCACCTGAAATTGTATACAGTACATTGACCAATACTATTATTAGCAATATGTATCATAATCGCATCACAATTTATTCATCTTACAAAGCTGTAACCTTTTAATTTTTGGATGTGGGCCCTGTCCACACTGATATAGCAGCATCACTTGTATATAAACAAATCCAAAAAGAAGAAACTTTACTTACTGGACGAAGGGTAACACTGAACTCAAGCTCTTCGCCATTTCTCAATACCCTAACTTGAGCAGCTTCATCAGGTTTCTTCATGGAGACTAAATGATCAAATGTTATCCGTTCTCTGTTACGGAAAGGAACTGCATACATAAATAAAACATGGCATTAAGATAATGGAAATCACCATTTAAGGCACTGAGTAAAAGCTCAGGCTCCCAAATGCAATGTATTGAACTATCTTGTATGTTCTCTTGCAGCAAGAAATTGGATGAGATAAACCATTCAGGCCATCATAAATCTTTAAGTATACATGCATATACATGTGCACGCTTAGATGTTTGAAGCAAAAGGTATAAGTTAAGTATACCCGTTCCATCATTTGCAATGGACACACCATCAAATGAAAGGACGATATCGTCTTTTTTCAAAACTCTATATGCATCAGATAGTGGGTTAATTTTGCTGACAAGCACCCCAGTTAAACCAGGACTCATTTGAAAGTGTTCTCGAATTTGCATGTTTTCAGTAGGTTGGCACGACAGACCCATAGAGCAGAATCCAACATAGTCTCCAGTTTCTTCAACACCAGCTATGAAATGTTTTATCACAGGAACAGGAATAATGTAACTGCAAATCCACCCAAATTAGTTGTCAACAACTAACAATTAGTTGTCTAAGCCAATATTATATCTGTAAACTACAATGAAAATGTAAAGAATCTTTGTGAACTTAACCACTCACAAATACTATGTTTCTTATCATTCTTCAGCTACATAAATAGTTACCCCTCAACACTGCAGATTAATCTTGGGAACTAAGATCATTTTCGTACTTGAGAAATAAATCAATGAACTATCATCTTTTACTGTGAAACTCCAGTTGTGTATAGTTCTTTTTCTAATATCTATATCCTGCGTAGACCATACCAAAAAAGCATATATCAAGAGAAATTAATGAAGACACCAAGTGCGCACTAAGCATAGAGTACAAGAAGTCTTCAATTATACAAAGAGCAAAAACATAACATCACAACCTTTTTTCAATCCAAAAGTCAGATAGGGACAACCATGTAGTTTTGCTGCACTTGCATGCGTATATAGAATATATCTTCACGACATTGTTCACTAAACACTACCACTATAAAGACAATCAACAACTATCCTTAACCATGCTAACATATAGACAAGTAGGGAGAGCTCGTTTCATTGCAAGACTACTTATTATAGGGACAACAGGGGCGACAAGCATATATTTTTTCTTTATTTCGTTTTCATTCCTACACCCCCCGAAAAAAATAAAAACTAAAAAGCTGGCTTACCCTGGTATACGCATCCACTAATTTCAGTATACTCAACCACCACTGCTGATTTTATCTAATTAACCAGCAGGAAGTTTCATAATATATTGCACTGCAGATATATAGAAAATAGTTCTCTGTACACCGTAGTTTCGACACAGGATAGCAATGTAACGTCAGCTGAAATTGCAAAAGATGTATAATGTATCCCCCCTAGTTCACTCACATGCAATGTTTACCACTTCAAGATTATGTTCAAGGAATTATAATGTCTAATACTCACCCAATATTCTCTGCTCCAGAAAGGTTTTGAAAAGCTACTCCAGCAACTTTGTCACCCATGATTGCGGGGCCTCCACTGTTCCCTGGATTTATCGCTGCATCAATTTGTATCGCCAGAAGCTGGCTTGCACCATGTACATATTGTGTGGGTTCAACTCTGGAGACAACTCCTTTGGTAACAGAAATGTTGTCTCCTCCTGCAGTAATGAAACAGAAAAAACACATTATTTCTATACAGCATTCATGCATTAATAACTCAAGAATAAAAACAGAAAAATAACATGAACATGTGAACAAGGAAAAACAAAACTGAGAAAACTCCAAGTAAACAAGATGAACAAAACACCCATGGGCAAGAAAAATTAATGCATTGTGATTGGATTAAGGGTGAGTCCTTAGTTAAAGGATTTGCAGATACAAACTCTAAAATCAAGAGAATCCACTCGATGATGCCTCCACAGAAAGCCAATCGAATAACAAGGAACTCAAAAAGCAACCAAACTTAAAAGTTAATAATTACAAACATACGTTTGTCACAAAATAAACTTAATAATTACAGACATATGTTTGTCACAAAATCTGTAAGTAATTTGTTTGGCTACAATTACTCACTCTGGATTTCACGTTGTCACAATTCAATCTTGTTTAAGTGTACACTAGGAAGAGGGTTCCTCACTGGCATGCCTAAGATTGTTCACAGCAACCATACTTTAATCCAAAACTGAACTAAAATCTAACATAGGTTTTTTTTCCTCACTCCCTTTCGAACCATTTAAAATTGTACACCACCATTAAGGATTTTTAAGGGAGCCCATTTCTATTGAATAATTCTTTAATTGCATAGTTATTTAATGGATACGCAGCAAACAGAATTTTACATCATAGTTTTTGCACCTTCGTGTATCCTCAATTAATGCAACCTCGGATGCAATGTTTCAATTTTGATTCTAGTATTGAGCGAAAGGTTACACCTGGAGGTTCTTTATTATGGGTCAAATCCATCCCACCCACCCACCCACCAAAAAATAAAATACATAAATACTTGCACCCTGCAAGTTTTCACAATCTAATTTGAGCATGTAAAATTTTGTGAAGCGCCCACCCTCCATAAAGAAGTGCTTCTAGTTCTGCCCCAGACCATTAGAGTTTATTTGCACAGTGAAAAAGAAAAGTATGGTCTCAGCCCAGAATTCTGTACCCTAATCTCGCAGAAAAGTGTCGACGTTTTTACCTGACAGTGATATTTTCTCAAGGTTAGATAGCTTGCCAAACCACATTACAACAAAATTTCACAAATTCCATCATATACATTAAGTATCACATGCAACATTACCCTGAGGATAACCAACTACAGCCACAGCTTCTTGAAGAAAAGGAACGTCACCAAGCTCCAGAAAGTTCATTCCGGCCCAGAATTCTTCATTCTCAACCACCAAAATAGCCAAATCACACTCATGACCAACAGCTTTGACTTCTGCCCTATACTTAGTGGGAGAACCATGCTTTCTTACAAGTACAAATGTGTGATCAGCCACAACATGGGCATTTGTCAGGATTCTCCTTCCCGAAATAACAAACCCTGCAGTGATTTTGTAGAAATATCAAGTTATGAACACCAAACAACATATTCCACAAAATGTTTAAAAAGGCGTAATCGGTATTGAGGCGTTTTTCTAAGCCTCAAAGTCATAAACAAGCATAATGTCAACAAATTATGAAAATGCAAAACAAGCTCATATTAAATCATAAACAAATTTCAAAATAAATAATAAAATAATTTAAGATGTGCAAACAAACAAACAAAAACAAAGCTATTATTTTAGTAGGTGGGGCACACAATTTTATATATGTTTTAATGGGCATGGGCAGTGGGTTATTATCAAAATAAATCAATCAGAATTTTTTATGCTTTGTGGGTCTAAAACCTAAAGTGAGGTGTAAAGAGTCTGAAGAATTAAGGAGAGCACGTCTCACAAGCCTTGAGGCGATGTTTTGAGGCATGTGCCTCACACAACTAAGACATCTGCTCCCAAAAACTGCCTCACAATGAGCGCCCTGAGGCATTTTGTTCGCCTCACATGAGGCGGGCCTCAATTGGGTTTGTTTAAATCATGATTCCACAGTTTAATTTATTAGCATAATCAGAAAGTTAGAATGTCCACTCACTTACATAGTACAATAAAGACCATAACAAGCCCAAATCTTAAATGCTGCAGAGAACAGAGATCACATACTATAAATGGGTATGCACTAGACACTCACTAAAAAATTCCAAACATGGGTCCCGGCTCTCGCACACATCTTTTAAGTTATAAAAGAGTTTGAGCTAAGCTATTCTTCATGGAACAATTCCACCAGTAGATTTAATTTACCATAGACAAACTTAAATTCACTGGTAATTATATATTAATCAGTCAGGGCTAATCATGGTTGTCGGCACCGGGGTGAGATTGGCCAGTAGCCTGATCTATGACCTATCAACCATCTAGATAACTAGTCAACTGCTCAGACTAATTTTTGAAAAGAATGAAAAGAAAAGCCTAAATAGTAGGATTACAATATAATTTCTACATTCTACTCTACTCTCTATTTGACCATTCTCCTTCTTTCCCCATTTTTAATATTGTATTTGTATGTGTTTTATGCAATTGTTGGCTGCATCTTCACACATCTATATAAGTATGTATGGGTGTTTACATCTTGCAGGGGATAATGCTCACAACAAGCTAATTAAAAAGAAAAACTAAACAGCACGGACATTGATCTTTCGTCATTCAAACCAAGCCTAAGAACCTATGCAGTCATTCCCTGACAACCGTGGGATCAATGTACCAATTATCCTCCCAATGGAATATATGCAGTTAAGAGATGTTATCCTTTACCTTATAGTCTTAAGATATGTATATACTAGAACTTATACTTGACATCAGTTTCTTGAATATGGGCATTGCTATAATTATTTTCTTCACATTTCAAACTTAAATGACCTTAGGATTTTGTCTTTTTTTTTCTGCTGCATTAATTTTTCAACCCAGTCTCTAAACATTATACTGTACCTCCCAGAAATAAGCAAAAAATAGAACTGGAAATGCTCACTAAAACATATATAAACAACATTTTCGTAGGAAAATACTACCACAGTACAATTAGCTAAAAAAAAGGTCAAGAAATTATCGATCTTTTTTGTTCTTAAAAATAAGTCCAGACATTAGAAAAGTGTTAAGTTCAACCCAAAAAATATATATCAATAGGGGTTGATGAAGATTACTGCCTAAACAGTAGTTACATAGGAGAACTGAGAACGAGAACACCATTACAATAAAAAGCTTTCTCTTCAATTATCTTTCCTTTCTTAGACCAATAATTCACAAAAATAGGGTTCAAAATAAATTAACCAAAAGAAATGAAACCGTGAAGCTTCCATAAAAAAAATGAAAATTCTTCCCATACAACGAAAATTAACTGATAACAAGCAAACAATAAGGAAAAAAGTACAAACCAGATCCCATGGTTTCACGTTGGGACTTGTTCTGCCAAGGAAGGAAGTAACTGGGGCTGCTGGCCACCGTAAAAATCTTCACAACAGAATCCAACGTCAGTTCGATCGCGGAATACGCCTCCGACATCAAACTATCTTCCATTGCCCCATATTTTGGAGCTTCAGCACCATAAGCCTTAGTCACAGTCTCCGCGTCAAGAATATTACTATTAGTTGCAGTAGTATTGGAATCGGAAATTGAGCAAGTACACAATGCTCTAAATGAGGAAGCAAACGTAATTTTGCTATTATTATTGTTGTTGTTCACATTAGAATAGAGAACAAGGCGGCGGCTAGGGGAGGTTCCCATTCTACGCGCCACCACCCGGCCGGCGGTTAAACCAATTCGCATCATAGTCGGTGGAGGCGGGAGCAAATACCTCTGCTCCAAGGGTTTAATTTTCGCCCGAATTGGGCAGTTGTTTGACTTGTTTCGGGGACCGGTTTATTGGAGCATTTAAAAACGCATTTGCCTAGAGCGTTTTCTGAGGTCGTACGTGATTAGCTTTGCTTTTTATTGTTTCCATCAAAGTCTACTTTCATGGTGTTTGATTCACATTTTCTCGTAAAAAATATTTTTCAATTTTTGATCATGTCACTATATTTTCTTTAAAAATAAGGAAAATATTTATTTGGAAAGAATAGGTTTTTATTTTTAAAGCAATTCACTCTCTCTGTCACTTATGTACGCCCTCCCTATCATCTATCCACAAAAGAAAAATGAACAAATTTAATATTTTTTAAATTAAAAATTAAATCAATTAAATAAACTTAATTAATAAATTCCATACAAATAAATTTGAAACAGTTCAATTACCTGAAATTTATTTTCTTTTCATATAAATTTTATACTCGCAATCAAATGCACTCTAAAGATATTTTTCTAAAATAGTCCATTTTTAACGGTTGTTTGAAAATGGCTTGCTTCTTTAGAGAGAGAAAAAAAAAAAATCTAATTTAATGACCACTTTTTAAGTTAAATTGTTTTAACTTTTTGCATACTTGGCAAAATGGAAAATTGAGTCAGCAAATCAAATTAATTATAATAATGTGATGTTAGAGCACCACTCTAAATGCCACGTTTGATAGGTTCAATTAAATTAATTATGTAACATTACATTTAAATGAATCAATCACTTAATGACTAGGGCTGTCATTGGATTGAATTTTGATCCGAATTCGACGAAATTAATGTGAGATGAACTTATGGTCTCAATCCGATAATTCGATCAAAATTAAGATCTGAATCCAATAATTTGTTAATTAAATGGATCAAATATGGATATAGGTCGATCCGATTCGATTTGTTATAAATAATTGAGTCGTTAAAATGTTTTTATGATATATTATTTGTCACTAAAATAAATAAATTTGAAATAAAAAAGTTGAAATTTTTAAAATATAAAAAAGTTGAAATTTTTATAATTATTAAATATATTTAAGAATTGGAAATTTTGAAAAAAAAAATTGATTTCAACCAATGTTTTAAAAATCAACACAGACATCAACTCGAAAAAGGAAGAGGGTCAATGGTCAAAAAGTCGAATCGAAGTCGAATCGCTATCGAACCGATTGTCAAATTAAATAAATAACTATACACATAAATGTAAAATATTATAAAAATAATAGATTTTTTTAAAAAAAAAATTAGATTACTAATTTAAAGTAAATAAATATCTATATTTTTTAAATTAAATTTATTGTTGTAATTTATTTTACAACTTCAAAAACTAATATCTAATATGTAATAAATAATTTAATTTGTTAATAGAAATAATGAAATAAAACATATTTATATTTAAAATTGAAATTCAATTTTAACTTATTCAACATCGAATGTCAATAGAAAATTAGAAAATGATTTCTCTTTTAAAAATGAATATCATAATAGAAGAAGTCACTATTAGCCATTATGCTTGCTAGTAAAAATATGTGGGCCTCAAATTAGTTCAAATTTTTTTAAAGAACGTTGATTTTTTTCCTAATTTTTATTAATTTCGGATCAGATTATCGAATCGGATATCCGATAACATAGCAAATCGGATATGGATTTAATAATCAAATATCTGTTGGATTATCGGATCAGATATATGCAGATCCGATCCATATCCGATCAATTTACAGCCCTATTAATGACATGAAATTATCACCTAAACTGGTACTTAACATTCATAGTGTTGAATAGTATTACTCAATTAATTATTATAGCTCATGGTTGAGTTGCATTATTTAAAATTAATTTTTTATAATTTTACACGTAAATTTACATTCTTCCAAAAAATTATTTGTAACAAAAACTATTCTTAAAAAGAGGTTCAAACGTAAGCATATGATCATTTTTCATATGCACGAGTTATCGAGTAACTCAAGCTTGGTTAACTCACGAAGGTTGGACAAGTAGTAATCTCTCAACGAGTTATTTGAGCTTGGCGCCATTTTTTTTCTTTTTTCGTTTTTGTACGTATTTTTGCCTCCTCTTTTCATGCTTACCTACCTCCAAATTTCAAGAAGAAATTGCATCATATTAAAGCAATAGCTTCTTCAATTGATCTTTCATTATCTTTAGCCACCATCACCAACTTTTTATTGCAACCCAAACACGTAAATAACTCAATTGACCTAATTTAATCACTAACGTAAACTAGTTGGTAAAGTAGGAAATGACCACACCTCTAACTTCAAAGCAACAAATCAAAGATAGTGAAGATAAGGTTGACAACGTGACGGTATGAGACGGATCGATCATTTTCGTCCTTCATCCTGTCGAGTATTTTGGTTACCTTACTTCACTCCCATACTTGATTAAAACGAGATGGGACAGGTCCCATGCTTCGTTCATCGCGTCGTTTATTTTTTTATATCTTTAGTTAGTGAATAGTATTACTTTTTTTTTTTCAATTTGTTAAGAGTAATCTATGTGCTATTTAAAAAATAATGATAAATCTTTTCTTTTCATTTAATAAAAAATTTAAACTTAAAATAAATTTTAAACAGAGCAGGTAATGGGTCGAAAACCATATTTATCATATCCGTCCATACCCACTTCAGGCAACGACCCCCACCTCGTCCCACCCCATTTACTCGAATTAGGGGTGTAATCCCCGTTCCATTTGGGGTGAGGTCTTTGGGTATGGAATTGAATGAATTTTTTTACCATCCCCAATTAAAGGACCTCAAGCAATTGTCGTGCCGAACAACACACATAACCAACGAAAACCTCCAACTATCCAACAAACACAGTGCATCTAGATCACCAAATACTCATGCAATTTGATAAAAAAAAAAAAATTTAATTGCACTTAGAGATATTCTAAAATTGGGGTTATTAAAAGGATAATTATATCACAGCTCATTTTCTATAGTTACATTACATTCTAATTGTAATTAAAGTTGTAATGACCCAGGTCTCTATACTCAAGTCGTTAGATTGCGTAATATTCGCTTTGGGTGGGCTTATACCCACTTATCTCTCACGACTTTGTATCCTCCAATCAGTGTTCTAAAATGCGCGCAAATGCGCCGCCTAGGCGAGCATAGGCGCGATGCACGTAGAAAACGTGTCAAATTGGGCAATGCGCGTAAAAATGCGGTCAACATTTTTTGTTGACCGCCTGGCACGCCTAGGCGAGCATAGGCGTCTCAATGCGCGCATCAGGCGAGCCTATGCGCGCCTAGGCGTGCATTAAGACGCCAAAAAAATTTTTTCTGTTGGATTATCGGATCGGATATATGCAGATCCGATCCATATTCGATCAATTTACAGCCCTATTAATGACATGAAATTATCACCTAAACTGGTACTTAACATTCATAGTGCTGAATAATATTACTCAATTAATTATTATAGCTCATGGTTGAGTCGCATTATTTAAAATTAATTTTTTATAATTTTACATGTAAATTTACATTCTTCCAAAAAATTATTTGTAACAAAAACTATTCTTAAAAAGAGGCTCAAATGTAAGCATATGATTATTTTTCGTATGCACGAGTTATCGAGTAACTCAAGCTTGGTTAACACACGAAGGTTGGACAAGTAGTACTCTCTCAACGAGTTATTTTTGCCTACTCTTTTCATGCTTACCTACCTCCAAATTTCAAGAAGAAATTGCATCATATTAAAGCAATAGCTTCTTCAATTGATCTTTCGTTATCTTTAGCCACCATCACCAACTTTTTATTGCAACCCAAACACGTAAATAACTCAATTGACCTAATTTAATAACTAACGTAAACTAGTTGGTAAAGTAGGAAATGACCACACCTCTAACTTCAAAACAATCAAAGATAGTGAAGATAAGGATGACAACGTGACGGTATGAGACGGATCGATCATTCCCGTCCTTCATCCTGTCGAGTATTTTGGTTACCTTACTCCACTCCCATACTTGATTAAAACGAGATGGGACAGGTCCCATGCTCCGTTCATCGCTCCGTTTATTTTTTTATATCTTTAGTTAGTGAATAGTATTGCTTTTCTTTTTTTCAATTTGTTAAGAATAATCTATGTGCTATTTAAAAAATAATGATAAATCTTTTCTTTTCATTTAATAAAAAATTTAAACTTAAAATAAATTTTAAACGGAGCAAGTAACGGGTCGAAGACCATATTTATCATATCCGTCCATACCCGCTTCAGGCAACGACCCCCACCTCATCCCACCCCATTTATTCGAATTAGGGGTGTAATCCCCGTTCCATTTGGGGTGAGGTCTTTGGGTATGGAATTGAATGAATTTTTTTACCATCCCCAATTAAAGGACCTCAAGCAACTGTCATGCCGAACAACACACATAACCAACGAAAACCTCCAACTATCCAACAAACACAGTGCATCTAGATTACCAAATACTCATGCAATTTGATAAAAAAAAAAAAAAAAAATTAAATTGTACTTAGAGATATTCTAAAATTGGGGTTATTAAAAGGATAATTATATCACAGCTCATTTTCTATAGTTACATTACATTCTAATTGTAATTAAAGTTGTAATGACCCAGGTCTCTATACCCAAGCCGTTAAATTACGTAATGTCCGTTTTGAGTGGGCTTATGCCCACTTATCCCTCACGACTTTGTATCCTCCAAGATTCAAATCCAGACCTCCATCATATGAGAGACTTAAGTTGAAATCTGGTATCAATTGAGCAATTTTATTGTTGGTTTTTTTTAATTATCAAATTTCAATTTGAAGGATACTTTACAAAGGCGCTATTAAATCATTCTCTCGTTTTTTTTTTTCAAGCATGTTCATGCATTACTAGACCAATTTGGGATTAGGGCACTGTCGGAAAGGCAGTACAAAAACAAAAAACACATTGGGAACGTCCTCTGCATTAACATTAACTACTACATTAGAAGATGAGAGAATAGTCAAGTCACGACCCCCACCACCCCGCCCGGCCGCCCCACTCCAAAACTACATGATTATTCATTCAGATATACATACACAGTCTCTGTATACGTGCTTTCTCCGCGTCTCCATAGCCTCTGCTCTTGGGTCGGGTGCTTTTCCATCTCCATATTCACACACACACACACAGTCTCTCTCTTTCTCTCTCTCTGTCTAGATCATCTTCGTGAGAAAAGAGTATTGCTGTTAATTCGCAGCGTCTTCTTTTCACCATCTTTACGTGCTTAATATATATTCTTGTACTCTTCTAACAGTTAAGAGTGTCATTTCGTTAGACAGAAAATGGAGGTATATATACAATAATTCTTTGTGTCTGAAAAGTGAAAACTGAGGAGAAGTCTTTGCTTTCGCAAGATCCAAACTCAGCAAACTACATTTGACTGCAGAAAACGAGGCACGCACATCTTCAACAACAAAACAGAATTTCAGGGTTTTTTTTTTATTCTGTCTCTCTCTACATACACATTTCTGATTCTAGAATTTTTCACAGACACGCATATTTTTGAAGGACGTCCGTCCCTCCAAAGTCTAGAGTATCAATTTTACAGGTAAATGAAGTAAAACCACACACACGCTCTCTCTCTCTAGACATACACATCAATTTTGATAGAAGTGGCAAATAAGAAAGAAACAGAAGTCTCACTTTTACGAGATCCATAGCCTCGAAATCTTCTCTTCCATTTCTGGGAAAAAAAAGCCTAAATATATTATGTACACACATATAACGTCATTGCTCCGTGTGCATCTATATATAATGGTAAGAAAGTCAGTGGAGATGAACATTGATTTCTTGCTATATTCAAAAAACTGATTATATGCATTTCCGGTATGTTTGGTAAGCGCTGTATTCGACATCATCCTGTGCGAAAAACTAAAATCTTATCTACTTTCGCGAACATCTTAATCAGCCTTCAAGAAGGAAAAAATGGATTATTATTTTCGTTCTTTTTTTTCAAAAGTAATTTTTCAAAGTTAGGTATTTCTAAAAACCATTTTCCAGATTTAGCCAGATTTTTTTGGCAATTTTTGACTCAATTTCAATTAACTTATGGATTTTTTTCTTTAAAGCTGTCAAATATATTTAATTGGCTCATTTTACATATAGACACTTGAAAAAAAAAAGTGCAAGAACAGAGAGTAAATTTAATCTCTTTCCTCCATTCTTCTGGTAATATATCTTTTTTTTTCCCTTTCTTTTTAGGCTCTTTTCTTATAATTCCAAGAAAAATTACAGATTCGCATGTGCAGACCCCTATTTCTTGACGCCCACAATTTCTTGAATATTGTTCATTTGTTTGTTATCAGTACAATTATATATATAAATTTGGCTGACTTACTTCATCTTCCTTTGACATTTTAGGGATATAATTAAGCAAAAGAAAACTACTTTAGGGAAGAAAACTGTGGCAGCATTTATGGCGTCCTCTTCGTCCAGCTCTCCATGTGCAGCATGCAAATTCTTGCGCAGAAAGTGTCAGGCGGAGTGCGTATTTGCGCCATACTTTCCACCGGATCAGCCGCAGAAGTTTGCAAATGTGCATAAAGTATTTGGTGCAAGCAATGTGACAAAACTTCTCAATGAATTGCTGCCTCACCAGCGCGAGGATGCTGTCAATTCCCTTGCTTATGAAGCCGAAATGCGCCTCAGGGATCCGGTATGGCCGAATCCCTTCATTTAAAAGTTTAAAACGACGATAAGAAATTTATTATATTTTCTAACATATTCCCTAACCGTAGATCAGATTTATCTCTACTGGGGTAAAATCTTCTTAAACAAGTAATTAGAATTTGAACTAAAGATATATGAAGAACCACGTATCTAAAGGCATGATCAAGGTATTACCGAGTAAAAGTTACATAAAATAGATTTCGATGAAACTTAAAACTTTTATTTCTTTGATACCATGATCAATCATATCATCTAAAGTTCAGCTATTAGAGAAAAGGCAAAATCTGACACACGGCGAGACTTTTCCCTGAAACCGTGACTAGCCAACCAAGGTTTTCATTGATACCGCGACTAACTAATCATCCCATCTAAAAATTTAAAATTTACATCTTCAACAGGTATACGGTTGTGTCGGAGTCATTTCCCTCCTCCAACACCAGCTCCGCCAGCTCCAGACGGACCTCAGATATGCCAAATCTGAGCTCTCCAAATATCAGAACCTTGGCATCACTGGCCACGGCCTCATAGAGGCCGCCACGCACCACCATCCGGGGATCAACCCAATCGGCAGCGGCGTTGCCTCCCGGGACCACCACTTCCAACACCGGTTCTTCCCCAGCAATCAGCAGCAGATTTTCAGGGCATTTGATGGGAACAGTAGTTATGATGCAAGCAGCCTTCTATTCAGTCAGTTTCAGCAATCCAGGGCCGCTGGTGATGGAAAGTGAAAATTTGTGGATCCATCCACTTAGAGTTTTTGCAATTTCTTTAGCCACCAAACTACATTAGTAAAACTAAACTAAAAAAAAAAAAGGACTTGCAATGTTGTTCATTTATAATTCTTGTTTTTGAGTACAATACATTCACCATAATGAGCGCAGATTCGGTCAATAATTTATGTTTGTTTTACTCTAATTACATTTTTTAAGTAAATTATGATCAGCAAAAAAAATCCATGGATAAATTATCTACTTAGTATTTTGTTTCTTAATGTTTAAGAATGAGCATATTTCTTTCAATTATGTTACTTATAATGTTGGATGACAATATAGGTTGACAATGTTGATGTGTCAAAATACTGTTGGTTGAGAAATTCGACAACTTTTCAAACTGTCCAATGACAATATGCCACGTGAATCATGTGACGACGTGCAACCATAATTAACGATCAAGGACCAACTTGTTCAATTTTAAAGATTAGAGAGCGATAGTGCAATTTTTCCTAATCATTAAACATAAATTGGGAAACTCGAACTATAGAGAAAAACTTCATTGAGTTGAATTCACCGATTCAGAGAGTATGATCCCACTAAATACTGAAATATATTATTTTTGCCATAGCTTAGATGTGAAAATTGTTTATACGTTAAATCATCGATCAAACGAATAAATTTCATAAAAAGAGTTGAGACTTTTAACTACGATAATAAGAAAAAGTTAACGAGAAATAACTTATTCAATTTGCAATGCTAAAAAAGGCGATTCGATCTTGAATCAATCGAAAATGAGAATTATTTAATTATTGTGGTTCAACTTTTGTCTTGAAGCTATTAGGAATTAATGATTTCATTGAGGTCCTCTTACTATTTGCCATTATTGAAAAGCGTGTAATTTATTTCTTATACATATTCATTTATTTGAAATCATTAAAACTAAATAATTGGTATAGTTAGTATAAAACAATTCGACACAACCAATTTATAAGAGTAATGCTATTTAGAGTTTGTTTGAGCCTCATTTTTTATGTAAATCCATTTTGGAATAGTGAATTGACGTAGAATATGTGATTAAAAAATAAAATAAAAAATTCTTGATTTGCTTGTAATAATATTTTATTGAAGAACGTATGGTTTAAAAAAAAGATAGAGAAAAACGTATTTTGAAAAAAATGATGATCAAATAAGGGCTTAGTCCCATTGAGATTACGACCTCAGTCTAGGTGATGTCGATGTGATATTAAATGATAAGTGAAATTAAATCACATTTCATTTACTCTATCATCCATCCGGTGAACGTTGAATACCATTTCCTAAATAAAAACCTAAATATCCTTTGTATTTAATTGTTTGAATAATTAGTCAATTACACCTGTTTGGTGCACATTTTTTCCCAATAATACATTTTTTTAATGTGATGAAAAATATTATTTTATTGAGGAATATGTGGTTTAAAATAAGTAGACAAAGGCATTGAAAATGATGACGAAGGTGTGTAATGATGGCCTCAACTTAAATTCAATGTCAGTGGGGTCTTTCTCTAATTGATGAGATACTACCGCTGTTGACGCATGCATGCAAGTTTGTATGTATATGGTACGGTTTGCATATAGCCCAGTTTGATTCAATTAAAAATCAATTCTTTAATGAATTTTGAATGGCTTATTAGCACAAAACGTCCCTACGTTTGATAGTTAGTGTGCAAAACGTCTCAACGTTTCATTTTTTTGCATTTTTGCCCCTATTTCAACGTTTCAGTGTGGAAAACGTCATTTTCACTTTTTTCCATCACATCAATATTTTTTTTTTCTTTTTCAACTACACATTTCCCATCATATCACCATTTAAAATCAATTCTTCCCCCAAAAAATCCCTACCAAACAAGCTCTAAATTGATGGAAAATATGTGATTAAAAAATAAAAAAAATTCTTGATTTATTTGTAATAATATTTTATTGAAGAACGTATGATTAAAAAAAAGATATAGAAAAATGTATTTTAAAAAAATGGTGATCAAATAAGGGCTTAGTCCCACTGATATTACGACCTCAGTCTAGGTGATGTCGATGTGATATTAAATGATAAGTGAAATTAAATCACATTTTATTTACTCTATCATCCATCTGGTGAACGTTGAATACCATTTCCTAAATAAAAACCTAAATATCCTTTGTATTTAATTGTTTGAATAATTAGTCAATTACACCTGTTTGGTGCACATTTTTTCCCCAAAAATGCATTTTTTTTTATGTGATGGAGAATGTGTGGTTGACAAAAAAGGAAAAGTTATTGATGTGATGAAAAATATTATTTTATTGAAAAATATGTGGTTAAAAATAAGTAGACAAGGGCATTGAAAATGATGACGAAGGTGTGTAATGATGGCCTCAACTTAAATTCAATGTCAGTGGGGTCTTTCTCTAATTGATGAGATACTACCGCTGTTGACGCATGCATGCAAGAGTTTGTATGTATATGGTACGGTTTGCATATAGCCCAGTTTGATTCAATTAAAAATCAATTCTTTAATGAATTTTGAAAATAATGATAAATTTATTGTTAAAAAAAATTGTTGGCGCTCATTCAAAATGAATTTGAGGAAAAAAATTTAAAAATTGAGGTCAAACAAGGTTAGATACAGGGAGCAATTTGGCCAATTACAGAATAAAAATTAAATATTTGAAGTATTTAATTTAAATTTAAGAATTCTTCATTTTTCTTGACAATTTCGTGTATAGGGTTGGAAGATGAAGGTCCAAGAAAAGGTCAGAAATCATGTGAAAGGAAACGTAAAAAGGGATAATTTCTCTGTAATGAAAGGGATTGGCTTTAAAGTAGTAAGATATCCCGACAGAGAAGCACGCTTTTCGAAAAGAAAAATGTAGCATTTATTTCGGGTTGTCCCTCTACTGCCGGATCCTGCTGGACTCGGGTTGTCCTCTTATCTTTCTTTCTCTTATTAAAAATGTATATACATCTCTTACATTGCGAAATAAAGACAATCATAAAACATGTATATCATTTTTTATATCATTATTTACATTGTATTATATGACAACACACCATTTGATAGTTTTTGGAAAAAAACACTTTTTCGTTCCACAACCATTTAAAAACAAGGGAAAGTCAAAATCAATATAAAGGAATGAATTCCCGTTTAACATTATATATACACACATGTACTATTTGCCCATGCCCTATGCCCAGACGCCCCCGCCTCCCTCCCCCACACACACACACGCTCTCTCATCAGAAATGACTGATCCTGTTTTGAGTTTATACTGTCCCTTCAATTGCTTCTAGGAGTTAGAGAGAGAGAGAGAGATGAGGACAGAAGGAACATTTGTCTATTACAACCTTTGTTGCTTTCTTCCTTAATTACTACAAAATGCCTTTTGTCTCCCTCTCTTTCAGACCTTAGCTAGCTGGTAACAACTGTGCTCTTAAAAGATCTTTTATACAATACCACTATTTGTATGTACTTTATAAGAGCATCAGGATATTTGAGTATTGTAGTCTTCCTTAGCCTTTTTATAGGTCAACACAAAATTCACCAGCTGTTCGTGAACAGTTTCGAAATTTCATCGAGTGAAACATTAAGGACATGTTCGATAGAGATTAAAATCGGAATAAAATTAAAAAATTAATCGTTATTATTGATTTTTATTAGACGAGTGGGACCCAATAATAACTATATTTTCAATTTTAATTGAATCTTAAGTTTAGCTAAACATGCTCTAATTTCTATACAGAAAAGCATAATTTGAATTTTGAGAGGTAGTTCATGATTTTAGTATAAACTATATATTAGTTAGAGGTGGGAATGGGCTGAGCCGGCGGCATAATTTGAATTGAGGAAATTACACGGCTCTCGGTATTTAAAGTTTTATGTGCAAATGTCAGGTGCCTAACTTTTTTAATCATAATTCAGGTAATAAAAATTTAAAACCCTAATTTTTCATTTTCCCCTCCCCTCCCCTTTCTCTCTCGTCTTCCTCCCTTCCCCCTTCTCTCTCTCCTCTCTCTCTCTCCCTCTCTCTATGTGAATGGAATAGCAGCGGCGACGCTCCCCTCCCCCTCTCTGTCCTTCCTCCATGAATGAAACGGCAGCGTCGCCGGTGATGGCTCATGGCAGCTCATGGCTCGGCGGCGACTCTCACCTCCCCCTCTCTGTCCTTCCTCTTGTGAATGGAACGGCGGTATCATTTCTCTGTCCTTCCCCCTCCCTCTCTCTGTCCTCTCTCTATGAATGGCGTCGAGCGTGCAGGGATGACTCACGGCGCAGCGGAAGCGGACCTGAGCTCAGATCGCCACTGCAATGACGTACTGATGTAGTGGTGCTGTGACGATCTGTTGGTGTGGTGGCGTTTAAGGGACGCACTGATGTCTGATGTAAGCATCGCCGGCTGGTGGTGTTTGTAGGGGTGGTGGTGCGTTGTGCGACGGTGGTGTGGTGGTTTTGAGGCGCTGTAGTAGGGGTGGTTTCTTCTTTGTTGGTGTGGTTGTGGTGGTTTTGAGGGGCTGTAGCAGGGATGATTTTTATTCGTTATTGTTGGTACGGTGGTGGTGTCTCTGGGTGTGGTGGCACGTTGTGGAGGTGGTGTGGTGGCGGCGGCGGGGTGAGGGTGGTCCTAGTGGCAGTGGCAGTAGTGTTGGTGGCGATTGTATGTGAGCATTGTTAGATGTATGTGACTATTGTTTGGTCATCTGTGACCAAGTATCGACCTAGTTGTGACTTCAAAATTTGATAATATGTGATTGCAAAATAATTTGTGACCAAATAATTTGAAAATATGTGATCGAGAAACAAATTTTGATCGATGAACAAACTATGACCAAAGAAATTTTTGATATGTGACTTTAAAATAATCTATGACCTCTAAAAATTTTGATTTGTGACATCGAAATAATCTGTGACCTATCAATTTTTTGATTTGTGACCTCGAAATAATTTGTGACCAATTAATTTGATAATATGTGATTGATAGATAAACTGTGACCTACAATTATAT